AATACTATTTAGACTTACTAATATACCTATAATATTTTAGTAAATAATTAATAATATACTTTAATAGTACTTAAATATCTTTATAATATATTACCTAGATAATATCTTAATTTTCTTAAATAATAAAGAAAAATATAAAGAATATATCTATAAGGTTTTAAAAGCTTTATAAAATACTAACTTATTAATTAAACTAGAAAAAAGTTACTTTTATATAAAAAAAAGTAAACTTCTTAAGATATACTATTATACCTAGTAAAATTAAAATAAAATAAAAGAAAATCTTAGTAGTAGTAAATTAGCCCTTATTAATAATAATTAAAGAAGTTTAAAGCTTCTTAAGATTTATTAATTACTACTAAAGATTTATTAAAGACTTTAGTAAAATTATAAACTTACTTATAAAACTTATAAAAAAAGACAGGAAATTTATATAAAAACAAGATATATAAGTAGTATTTAAAGCACTATAATAAGCCATTTTTAGTAAACCTATATTAGTTATATTTAACCTTAATAAGGAAATAAAACTAAAGACTAACTTATTAGATTTTACTTTAAGAAGATAAATTAGATAATAAGATAAAGAAGGAAAGCTTTACCTAATTGCGTTCTATTCCTATAAACTATATAAGGCAGAATTAAATTACCTTATCTATAATAAAGAATTCCTAATAATTATTAATTACTTTAAGGAGTTTAGATACTACCTTATAGGAAGTATATACTAAATTAAAGTCTATACTAACTATTAAAACATTTTATACTTTACTATAATATAAGAACTTAACTAATAATAGCTATATTATACTAAATACCTATATAAATTTAACTTTATAATTATTTATTATAAGGGTTTAAATAATAAATAAGCTAATACTATTAGTTAATGCCTAGATTATAATACTAGTATAATAAAAGTAAAAAAATAACTCCTAAAAAAAATAATAAAGGAGAATACTAATTTATATAATAAGCAGAAACTCTAAGACTTATAAATAACTATAAACCTATAAATTAGGAAGAATAGATAAATAAAATCTAAAATACTACTATAAGATATAACCTTTAAAATCCTATTAAAAGCAGAGCTGAAATGCCTACCTATAATAATAAACTATAAGTACCTAAACAATTTAGGGAAGAACTAATACAGGATATATATAGATATCCCCTATATAGCTACTAAGGCATTAAGAAAACCCTAAAATGTATTTAGATATATTATAATTAGGAAGGAATTAAAAAAACAGTAAAGAAGGTTATTAAATAATATAACTTATATATAAAAACTAAAGTATAATAATATAAACCTTATAGCCTACTATAACTACTAGAAGTAGCAGAAAGACTATAGAGTTTAGTTATAATAGACTATATAACCAAGCTACCCTTATTAAAAAAACCCTTAACTAGAATCTTTTATAACAGTATCTTAGTTATAATAGATTAACTTACTAAATTTTCTTACTATATACCCTATAGGGAAGACATAGACATAAAGCAACTTTCTTATATCTTCTATAATAGGATAGTTAGAGAATATAGACTACCTTATAAAATCTTAATAGATAGAGGAATAACGTTTATAAGCAAATTTTAGCAGGCATTAATATTATATATAGGACTAAACTACTAACTCTTAATAGCATTTAGACTACAAATAGATAAATAAACTAAATAAATAAATTAAGTATTAAAACAATACCTACAATGCTATATTAACTATAAATAAGATAATTAGGTAGAAAAGCTACTAAGCGCCTAACTTGCCTATAACACAGTATATAACAAAAGCATAGAAATAACACCTTTAGCAGCAAACTTTAGATTTACCCTAGACCTATATTATATGGCATAAGAACTAAAAACAGTTAACCTAGCTGCTATAATTAAAAGCAAAGACCTAAAAGCTTTATATAAGGAATTAAGGAAGAAATTAGAATTTATTAAAAAATAAATAAAAAAATCTTATAATATAAAAAGGATTAAGAGACTAACCTTTTTAAAGGGAGATATAGTTTACCTAGTTATAAAAAACATTATAATAAAATAACTAAATTATAAATTAGACTATAAGTATATTAGGCTATATAAAGTTAAAAGAAAAATCTTAGAAAATAATTATAAACTAAACCTATTACTAAAAATTAGGCTTTATTTAATCTTTTATATTATACTGCTTAAATTAGCAGTCTATATAATATAAGCTAAAACTAGTAATAAACCAGAAGAAATTAAAGGACTAAAAGTCTATAAAGCAAAAGCAATTAGAGATATAAGGAGAATTAATAAATAAATAAAATACCTTATTAAATAAAAGGACTACCTAAAAAACAAAAACATATAGGAACTATCTAAACACCTTACTAATACCTAATAACTCCTAAAGAACTTTTACTAATAATATTAGAAGATAAAGGATTAAAGTTAAAGTCTCTAAGACTAAGGGAATCTTAATTAATACCCTTAGGATTTAAAGACTAAAGTTCCTTAAAAGCTTTATATTTATAATAACTCAACTCCTCAGCTAGCTTATCCTCTCCTTTAAGACCCTAAATACTATGGCGAAATTTAGATATATGATGCTCCTTTACCTTGTTTTTAGTCTTGCAAATATGAGATAAATGACTAGCAGCTATGGCTATATGTGCCTGTAATGCAGCTAACTCTTTATAAAGTTTTAAAAGATCCTTACTGGCCTCCTCTTTATCCTTATCTAGTTTCTTTTCTTAAGAAATTAGTTTCTTAACTAAAAACTATTAGTAACTAAATAAATAAAGAAAAGAAAATAACGCATAAGAAGATGCCACCTAAGTACTATTGCAAGATCGCCCTTAGCATACGCACTTACTATAACGGGAAGAGTCCGCTATTATTAAACACTCCTTCTGGTGTTTAAAATAATAGGAATACGGCATATTAGCAGGTTTGCGTAATAGCTTGATACTCTTAGCTAAAAATTTACGCTCTTTGGTTTTTTAATTAGTAGATTTAGAAATATAATTAGATATCTTATTAGCGGCATATACTAATAGGAAAATATTTAGGGATGTAAGTTAGAACTAACTAGATAAAAAACAGACTAGGCCTACTTTAAGGTCTTAAGGACAAGACCTAATAGAGGGGAGAGATCGTGTTATGACCCTAGCGGTTACATTACATATACCCTATAAAAACTTATACAAGGCATCAGCCCCGCAACGGCTATAGACCAATCAGAGCTAGATTACCTTACAGATAGGATTATAACGCTCTAGGAACTACTATAATCTAGGATTACCATAATCTAACTGCCTTAGTAATCCTTACAGATCACTTCTAATATATAGACTACGTTTATTAGCACTTTTATAGAACTTAGCTTACTAGCTATTAATAAGACTTCTTTACCTAAATATGCCTAACCTGCTCTATTTACTATTAAGAGACGTGATACTTTATAACTGCTTAGTATAACGCCCTATAACTCTGCAAACATTAAACCTAGTACAGACTAGTTTACCTATTTAGAACCCATTCCGTCACACAACCCCAGACAGATAACAAGGATTAGCATTACTATAAGCAATAATAAAAAGCAAAATAAAATAGAATTAGAGTTTATATTATATTATAATAAATATATTAATAGTTATTTATTTATTTACCTACTTACCTACCTAACTCTACCTACTTAGCCCTAGGAAGGAAGTACCTAAGAATATCTATCTATTATATAGTCAACTAAAACCATTTAGGGATAACTACTATGCCTATAGGCTCCTCAGCAAGACGGCCACTGCCAAAGAAGCTAGGAGAAGAAGGAGGATTAGCATTACCAGTCTCTGATAATAATGATGCTGCTACTACTATGCCAGGAGGCCAGATCATTTAGCTATGCGAAGAGCTTAACATCCTCCTCTGCCTCCTCTGCCCGGCGGCCATCAAGCCCGGCACAGATCAAGTCAAGCATCATTACCGCAACCGCCACAGGACAGTTGGGGCACAGCTGCAGGAGGTCATTGCATTCGCCGCCTCCTTCTCACTATCAGGCTTATGGCCCCGGGCGCTCCAAGATCTGATAGATAAGGACATGGAGCTGCCGGCCGACGGGAGCCCACCGATCGCAGAGCTCGAGACGTATGCAGGCTTCAGCTGCAAGAGCTGCCGGCATCTGACCCGCGATCGATCAAACCGTGACAGGCATCAGGTACTGGCCAAGCATAATAAGGAGGAGGAGGAGGAGGAGGAGGAGGGTAGGAACAGCAGGCAGCAACGCAATTAGGAATCAGTCATGCTCCAATCGCTACAGAGGGCTCCACACGCTTCCTACATCCTTATTGTCTCTCCCACTTTCACTGAAAGAGGAAACCCCTATCGTCTATAGAAGTACCTCTTGCGGCATAGTTGGCAGATTAGTGACATGGCGCCGACAGGGGGTCGGTGGGGATTCAAGTGAAAGAGGATGTCAGTGACTGCGATGAAGGTGATTGGCCAAAAAAAAGACCTACTAAAAAGAAGTAGAGGAAGTTGCCAGAGCAGCTATAAGCAGGGGAAGGAAAGAAAAAAGAAAGTTTGTATGGAAATTATAAGGATATTAAGAGAAGTAAAACTAAAGTAAATAAATAACAGAACTAAATAAAGTTAGCCTTACTATAATAATTGCTGCAAACATTGCGATGCAGTGTACATATTGTGGTCTGTATACGCTAAACGTCCCTCTAATTTCCCTAGAATTGCATCATAATACATTCTTTTCGTCAGTGCACGCTTTTATTGATAGAGAGGTAAACACTATAAGTTATGCACTCTGAAAAGAATAGCAGTTGGTTACAAGGTGATGCAATCCTTCACCAATTTGCATGCCAGACCCCTCAATGATGATATAATGTGACCTGCGCCTCGTTACGGCTGGCCACCTCCAATAACGATCAAGCTTTCAACCCCCTTGCAAGATCAGGCCACAATCAGACTAGAAGCTGAAATTGGATCCCTACAAAGGCGGCCCAGAGTTCTCAACCTGCATTACCCTCAATATCAATCGCAAGCTTTACAGTATCATATCCATGTCTACCATGGATCCCGCTAGTATTATTGGCACCACATCCGCGGCTATTACTTTTATTGAAACGATTGCCAAGATAGTTTCAATTGCTCGAAAAGTGCACGATAACACGACTGGTGAACTCGACGAACACAAACGGCTGAGAGATGTTGCTTCCGCGTTGGAGCCTGGCATCGCCACTTTGATAGAGAAGCGCAAAAGCCAGACTCTACTTTCCCCTAAGGAGGAAAGCTTGTTGCAAGTTGCCGAGCAGTGTTAAGATGTTAGCAAACGAATTTTCCATCTCTTGGACAGATATTAAACCGGGCCAATATCTTAAATTGGCCACGAATTACCATTATCGGCGAAAAGATCACTAGTCGCTTATCTACTAAGAAGACTATGAAGGTCACGTTATGCATACTATGGGGCGAACTGGAAGCAGAGGGGTTAAGACAGGCATTCGATATATGTATTAGGCAACTTAGTATTCACCTGACGTTAATTTCGAGGTGAGAAATGTGCAGTGAATAGCAGCACGTTCACTAATGAAACATAGATCCGATATCCTCGAAAAAGTCGACGTTATATTCGCCAAATACCGTGAAGAAAGCTCAGCCGACATCAAAAATATCCGCGATACTCTGCAGACTACTCTTATAAACATTTCTAAAAAGTCCGATTACCTTATCAAGCAGATCAAATCTGTGAAATTCAAACTTAATCAAGCGGTTGATAACCACCCCAGATGGGTTAAGCATATCAGCAAGCTTCAAAAACTCTTCGAAGCATCCCACCTAACGATAGAAGAGATCAAATGCCATTAGGTTTTGAAGGCTATCGCCTTTCAGGATATTAGAATAAGGCATTATGAGATCAGAAAAGTCGAGCTAGCAGAAGACACTTTTGAATGGATGGTCAAGGATGAAATGGTGCCTCCTTTATATCAGCATCTCAAGCAATCCTTCAGAAGCTGGCTTGAAAAAGGAGAAGGAATCTTTTACATCATTGGAAAACCAGGAAGTGGCAAATCGACAATGATGAATTTTCTTGCCAGTTATCCAGAGACCAGATTACAGCTGGATAAGTAGGCACGCAATGGAAACGGCATCGTTATGGCTTTAGTGTTTCTGTAGAACCTCGGATCAGTAGAGCAGAAGAATATGGACGGCATGTATAGGACTCTGCTGTATACTATCCTGAGCGAACACAGAGAGCTCATTCCCTAGGTCTTTGAGGATCTTTGGAATGCATTGAGTGAGGAGCCGTTGATATCATAGCAGCATCTTGAAATGAGCTGAAACGAGATAAAGATCGCTCTGCAAAAGCTAATTACAGACTCGACTTGAAGATATCAGTATTGCTTTTTTATTGATGGGTTGGATGAATTCTATGATGAAAACTTGCTCAACTTTAGTTTAGCGAATCAGCTAGACCACTAGGCAAGCCATTAAGGGGTTAAGATCTGCGTTTCTAGTTGCGAGGAAGCACCCTGGACGACCTATTTTGTTAAATTTCTAAGGCTGAAACTTTATCTTACCACAGAATAAGATATCCGGAGAATGATTGACAAATATCTATCTGACGACCACTACCTTAAAACTTTTAACCCTACTGAGAGTGAAAAGTTCATTAGCAGGTTCGTTAATATGGCTAATGGTGTTTTTATCTGGGTTAAGCTGGTTTTGCAGGAGCTGGAAGAAAAACTTAACTACGAAGTCTCCCTGGACGCCCTCTATTAAGTTCTTAATACTGTTCCGGAAAAGTTGGAAGAGTTTTACGACAGGATTCTGCTTAGGGTCTTACGGTGCGATAGACTAGAAGCTTGGGCGGTGTTTGATGCCCTTATTGAGATAGCAAAATGGAACTTTCTGAACCTATTTAACATTTATTACTATTCCCTCCTTGGGGACTTAATGTCAAATCCTGATTTTTATCAACGAACTTCTGATTATATTGCATTGTGGGAAGACATAGCACTACAAGTAAAGGCTCGTGTCGATGATTTCCGAAAGCGGGTTCCCTTGCTTTTCCGTGGCATGGTAGAAGTCGTTCCTTGGGGACAGTTCTGCGGAAGCCCAGTATTGGACTGGTTAACATTCTCTTATCGATTAATATACGAATATCTAAGCACTAGCTTATGCCAGAAAACCTCTCGGTCTCGAGTTGATACCCAGATAATGATAGCCAAGTGCTTGATTGGACAAGTCAATCGTTACGGAATTTCTAGCGTTGATATGTCGATTGTGTTAGGATAATTACTGTCTGAAATTAAGCATATATACAACGACTCAATACTACCGGTTCTGGGCTTGCTAGACGAAACACTGCTTTATCGTTAAACTAAAGAATTTAAAGACCTATTCCTGGATTTCCACAGCAGCCTAAACTATATACCTAGGGGCAAGGAACAGATTCCTATGGTATTTTTTTACAGCTGTAAAAAAGGTTTCCTATAATATTTACATTAGGCGATACACAATAGCCTGTACTGGCGAAACAATGAATGCTTTCGGGCTAGCGCTATTGCCGCTCTTTCATCGCCGGAAGATATCGTGTACCAGTCACCAGCGGAGTCTTTGGAAATTCTTCTTGGCGACGGATTTGGCCCCAACTTTTGGTACACCTATCCTTCATTTTCATGCTCTATATCACCATGGACTCGATTTCTATTCTACTTTATTGCAAGATCTGCTTATAAGTCCTGTGGACATAGCACGCTATGGCCAGTTGTAAGCACATTCATTGAAAACAATGCGGATCTCGATCTTGTTTTTAGCTGGACTATTCAAAGGACTTCTGCCTGTCCTTATAGGTTCTACCTTAAGGATATTCAAGTTAAGAGAAGGACATATCATGACAGCCAATATCCTAAGACAGACATACTTTTCTTTAAGAGAAAGAAGTTCTATATGTTACGGAAATTCAGATTGAAATTTCCCCGTGGCGGCTCAGCGCGGGAAATCCTTATTCACTTTGCACCTACAGATTTCTTACCCCTTCTTAACAATCTCGATAGAGACTTAGGGCTTCCAGTAGTCAAGGGGCAGGTATAGCCTCTGCACATTACCTTAGAAGAAGCAGCGCAGCCCACAGATCAAATCCAATCAAACAAATTGCCAAACAAATCAATTAAATATGCCAAAAACTTATTTCAATTAAACAAATTTAAAATCCTGGATTTGAAATAATATTTAATATATTTGATACGTGATATGCGATCTAAGGTCTATGCTGCCAGACTATGAATAGCGCTTTTACAGCTTACCCGGAACCTGGCTGGTTAGCAACCCCAGCCAATCAAAGTTATCTATTAAGACTTCTATTAGTGAGCTACCCCCTAGTAGTATGGTCAGACTGGCAAAAGAGAAAGTAGCTTCTTAACTTTTACGTCCTGTCCTAGCGATATTAAACCGCGTTAGGGCCAGTTTGTTTACCTCTCAACGCGTACCATTCCTCACGGATCGACGTCTAACCCGATGGAATCTAACGATATCATGCTTCCTTCGCCTCTACCTTCTGCCTTTTCTTTTCTCTGACCACTAAGAAATTTGGCAAGTCAGTTCGAGCTAATAATACATATGGCATTGCCAGACTACCCTACTATTGCAGATCTTCTGCAAGAGATTTAGAAGAATAAATAATATGTTTTAGAAGAGTCCTTATCCTAGAAAGGCTTAAAGGGCCAGAAGAGCTAGATTAAGCGCTATAGACTTTTTCTTATTAAGATTAATACTAATAACAGTCTGCTAAGTCCTTACTAGGCCTATCGTTTATGCGATGCGAAGGGTTAGCCTGAATTCTTCGCCACTGCTGCTATAAGTTCGGCAGCTGACCACCTCTGCAAGTATGTGAATATAACGTCGCGAGCTTGAGCACTATTGACTAATGTTAGGTCCCACAGGATTTTCGAGAGCAGTCAAGCAGCTGATCTAGATCTGTTAACCGATAAATCTGAATGGTCTAAGCGACGACGCTTGCAATATAGCACCGTGCTGCGCGCTAGAGTTAAGATGATCCGAGAATTAAGCCTAGGACTTCTGATTAACACTAATGTTCCTTTTTCCTTCTTTAGCGATATATTCTTTTAGCAGCTCGCCTGGCAGCTTAACCCTTACCTATCTACTAGATGCTATAGAGCCGGCAATTAATAGGCGGTTTGCTAGATAATATATATAAGTCTAAGAAAGATAAGATTAAGCAGGAGCTCTTAGATGCCCTTACTAAAATCTATCTAGGGTTCAACCTATAGATATCGCCTAATCGGCATGCTATTATAGCAGTTATAGCTTATTTTCTTAACTGCCAGCGCAAGCACCAGTCGCGCCTATTAGCACTCTGTTGCCAGCTTAGGTATTATAGCGGAGAAAATCTTGCAGTAACGCTCAGGCAAATCGCACGTAAATGGAAAATAGAGGATTAAGTCAGAACAGTAATCTCAGACAACATATCTTCAAATAACAGCTATCTTATAAACTTCTACGGAGATCTCGATGCAGAGATAAGTGCGGCCGATATTCAAGCCAGATATATGCGCTGCTATAGATATATCCTGAACCTAGTTGCTCGCGCCTTTCTCTATGACGAAGATTTTGAGGCTTTCGAGGCCGAATCGCAGGTATTTGACCTTCTCGGCCGGCGTGAGGATGACCTACGACACTGGAGAAAGAAAGGGCCGGTGGGAAAGATCTATAACGTTGTCAAGTTCATCAGATCTTCCCCTATCCTATCCTATCCTACTCAAGTATTAACGCCAGAAACGGGCCCTAGTAACTAATGGCTAAATCAACTCTAGTAGAGTTGATTTTATCGGCCCACTTTAAACCTAGTAGGGTTGATTATTGCCAGGATGTAGAGTTAATTTTATACTTTTATACAAATAGAAATAGAGGCGCTAATCAAGACGGGGCTTAGAGTGAAACGCGACGCGTCCTGTCGCGTAAATTGTAGATAAGTATAATATACTGGCTGCATGCTGTTATCTGCAGGACCCTGTTATTATTTCTTATTTGCTTATTTTGCCCCGAAGGTGGCTTCTATAAAGCCTCTCGAGACTATATAGCGGCAATGCTTTAGTTTCTAAAACCTAGGATATTGAGATCGAATCTTATTAGTCTACCTGTAATATTAAGCGAATTCTCCTGTCTGTTAATAAGCATTAAAGTAGATAAGCAGTTATTGTACTTTTTCTAATCTTGATAGTATTCTTAGCTTAGCCTTTACTTGCTTTGCAAAGTCCTAATAATATCTAGTTAATAAAATCAAGGAATGGCTGTTTTTTGCTAGAATGATTATTATTAAGCTATGGAAAAGATAATAAAGCAGAAAAATTTCTATAATATCTCTACGATATGTGTATATGTATAACTTAGACTAGCTACTTATTATATATATCTAGATCCTGAAGCTATGTAATCTAATAGAATAAGGCAGATACTCTTCTTATTATAGAGCAGTTTACTATTTACTTAGAATTAATAGCAGTAAGTCGTCTTTTAATCCTACATTTTAACTAATGCGTTAACGTCTCTTCTTGAATTTATATAGTTCCTAGTTCATGTCTTTCAGGAACTCCTCACTATTATCGGATGTAATGAAACGATCTGCCGCATACTGCTCTAGCCACTTATCTAGCGAATAAGTCTTATTATTATCCAGTCCCTTCCGTTTCTGCCCTCGCTTATCTACCAACTCTGCTATATTAAGTATATGCAGCAAGTCACCTGGCATCGAACTATCTCTTTGTTGGTTTTAATTGGGATAGTTCGGTCTCGATTTCTTAGTCAGGTTGCCTACCTTCCTATTACCTGGATCTCCTAAGGTCGGTGTTACAGGCAAGTCAGTTTTTGCAGTAAGCGGCATCGCCATGCCTGAAGTCATCCTACTTGCAGTAAGCGAGATTATATCTAGGATTAGTTATTTAGCGGCCATATTTTCAATATATGATATTTCGTAGTAATGGCATAGGGCCTTTTGATTAATAGTATTAGGTACTGAAGCTCTTTGGCCGTTAAATCTCGTCAAAGCATTATATAGGATAAAAACTCGGATACAGAGTGTGCAAGGATGTATAGAGAAGAGTCGTACATCGAAAAAGTCATAAAGGTGCTTTATAAGTAGGATGCCGTTCCTCGGGCTCTATGTGCTTTGCCATGCTTCTTTCAGCCTGCAATTACTTGCTTTAAGAGGTACATCGTCATCTGCGTCCTTGCCGGTAACGGGATATATATAGTAATGGTGCTGAGGGATAATATGGCAAGCCTGAATGCCAGGGCTAATGGGAGGACCTGGATACTATGACTCTCCTTCGCCCGAAACAGTATATGATGTTGCTCTATTAAGGCATAAGGACCGGAATTCGTTAATAACCTTTCTAGCCTTATTGAGGTCGATTTCCATGCTCGCAGGTGTAACTATATTCTCGAACTCGTTATTGACTTCTTTTGTAGGTGAAATCGACCTAGATGCTGATCGTTTGCCTGGAGATACGGAGCGAGCTTTGAGCTTTTTTCGCAGAGGCATGACTGTAAGTTTCGGATTGGAAGGTGTTTTGTTTGGCGGTAGGTATTATTGATCGCGATAGCGACTAGGATTCGGGAGATATTTGGCGTATTTGGCTAGGTAGAAAGTTAGTAAAACTATATAGCGAGATAGTATTGATAGACTGTATGGCTAACCCTGTATGTAAGACTTAAGTGGTAAGCCGGAAGCTAGAGTGCAGTTCTTATAATAGTATATATAATAGGTTAAGACGTTCTGTTCTTTGGGGCGCAAAGGCGCCAGATTTGGTATAGCTTGATATATTTTTGCCTCCGTTACGAAAGATAAGCCGGGATCTAAAGAACTCGGGGAATTATCTTGATTTAACGAGAAGGCAATATTAGTCTAGGTTTTCTCGTTCTCGTTATCCGAAATATTGTATGGGCATTCGAAGCAAAGGCATAGCTCGTCGCAAACATTGCGAAAGGTCACCAAATTGCTCCTAGGAACTTGGTAGATTCCGGCAAAGGCGCCAGGGTCCTCGTCTTCGCCAATAGTAAAATGGACATTCTAAGCAATAGCGCGTATTGAAGGCGTGATGGTCGCGTTAGATATGGTTGTGTTGCTTTTGATAGTGGAAATTTATATGCTTAATAAGTGTTAATATTGGACGGGAAGCGGAATTAGAAATGGTCAAATTGACGATAACGATCTAGTGGCTTTGTGTTATTGACCAGGTGACAGCATGAGTCAGCAATGCCACCTACTAATCACTAAGCTAGACACTTCTGTAAGCCGAGCTGATACCTGCAAATTTATGTAAAAAAGAACATTCCTTTTATTATTAATATATATTATAGTTCCTACTCTTGTATTCCTAATTGTTGCATACCCCTATCTACTTCTTATATACCTGTCTATCTTCGGTCTATTCCCTTTCAATCTATACCATGGCGATTGATTTGTCCTATTTCGATCGACTATCTGCACGCGCATATAAACGCGTACTTTAGCTTTTATGTTATACACCCTGAGACCTATACCCCTTTTATCCAGCTTACTTTCGGTGAAAGTGGAAATTCGCAGTCTTTTATTGGCTTATACCCCTATATATCCTCTTTTACCGAAAAAGTGATGGGGTTGTTAAGCTTCTAGCTGGCTTTTTAATTAAGAGTAGATAATATACCTTTTTATTAGTTAGCCTCTTCCTCTATTATAACCTTTATAGCTAGACTTGCCTTTATAATATAAAATAATACTACCTCCTAAAAGCCTTTATATAAATTAATATTTTAATTATATATATTTTATAATTGTATTATAGAGATATAAAAATAGGTTTAGTATATATAATAAAGATTTAACCTTTTTAATTAACCTTTATCCTTAATAGCTATATATTTATATTATATAATATTATTTAATTAATTTAATAACTTAGGCTATTTTTAAATATATAGCCTTTAGAGCTTTATTATAAGTATCTATTAGTTTATTATAATATTAAATAGAATAAAATAACTTTATAGCTGTAATATATAAGGTAGTCTTGCTTATTTTATAACTAGTTACTTACTATTATTATAGCTGCAGTAAGGAAGCCTAAACTAGTATAAAATAAGGATTATCTATTAGGTTAATAGTATAATAAACTACTTTAAAGTCTAGCTACTATAAAAGCCTAGCTATAAGTTATACTTTATGGCATTAACCTTATAATTAATTATATAATATTTATACTCTTAAAAACCTTATATAAGTCTTAATATTAAATAAATATATATTAAAAAGATAACTTTTTGCCTTATAAGTTTAGGATTATAAGATACCTAAGAAATTATATTAATATATAAAAATAGTTTATTTATTATATATTTAAAGTTTCTAATTTTAATATATATTAATAGTAAGAAATCTTTAACTTATAACTTTAAAGAGATAAAATTATTATAATATATTATATATTATATTTAGTCTCTCTTTTATAGCATAAGACTGCACCTCTGGATTTAAACTTAAATAGAGTATTAGATAAAAAGGAAGATAAGTCTAGTAACTATAATAATAGAGATAGAGATAAAGATAATAATAGAGATAAGGAAGATTATCTAACTAATTATAAAGGGCTAGAGGTTAAGAACTAGTTTAATAAAAGTAATAAAGTTAATAATAGGAATTATATTAAAGATATTAAAGATACTAATTTAGCCTTTTCTCTCCTATCTGGCCTTTAGTTATATCTATCTAAGGCCATTTTCTAACTATTAATAATTTTCTAGATATATTAAGAACCTACTAGAGATATATCTATATCTACTATTATCTATTTTGCAGCCACTTTAGGTATCCACGGATTATCCTTTGCTTTTCATTTAGCCTATACTTTATTATCTAGACTAGCCGCCCTTGTGTAGATCGGCCGGCTTCTGTTCCTCGAATACGCCGTCCCTGTTTACGCCTATAATATACTTGACCTCGCCTGGCCTTATCGGACAGCTTATCCGTCACAACCCGACCGCATTTCGTTCATCTGCTGCAAGTACCTACTGCAGGGCTGCTATACACCATTTGGAGAGCTGATTGAACTGAAAGCATTCGCGAAATCTATCGTGAAACGGGAGGGGGTGCCAGGCAACCTAGCCTGGGCCCCTGACAGGCGGTCATTCACAATCGATGACGACAAAACAGTCCGGCTATTAGAGTTTTGTAAGATCTATCATAAAGCTATAAAAGTAATATAAGAGCAAGTAGGCGAGATGCTATTAGGGTGGGAGCCTGATATTGATGTTTCTGCCATTTAAGATGATTTAATATGTCAGAAAGCGGGCTAGTTATTTATTAACAAAATTAAGAATAATCTAGTAGATATATGGAAGATGCTACTCTATAGGCTACAGAAATCGTCATTCTGCAGTATACCTTTTATAAAATCCGGATACTAGAATGCAGAGACTTGCCATAAGTATCTTAGTGCTGGTATCGAACTTAACAAGTCTGCTTTTGCAGCAATTCACTTTAGAGCCAGTCTGCCCGGCCGGGGGACGGAGGTAACCAGTATTCGATACCTGAACTTAAAGCTGTCTATATGCAATGTGTTTTTCTATGACAGGCAGATGATCATTGTTATCAGTTATAATAAGGCCCGTGCTTTAAACAATTACGCTTTCTATATCGTTCGCTATGTTCCTGCAGACCTTAGCCTAAGCCTCTTAAAGCATCTCGCTATTGTTTAACCGGTCTAGGAATTCTTAGCCAGGGAGATGCAGATAGTGCGCCATGACAGCAAAGGGTTCTTTTTCTTAGATCCTAGTGGCAAAAGGAAGCATCTGTTATCCGAGCAAGCTTCGAGTATCTTGAGAAGCAGGACTCGAGACCTGATTACGCCATGGACATTGTCACTGTACCGACAAGCTGCTTTGGCAATCGCCAAGAGATATCTGGCAAAGCTGGTAAATAAGGCGAATTTCTACTACCCTTCTAGCGCGGCTGATCCGATATGCATGTTTGCGGCGGGAGCTGGTTATCATCCTTGCATGCTGCTGGCCACATATGCTATTGATCGAGCTCTTCCGGAAAGGCTCCAACCTGAGCTCTTAGAGATGTATCGTTGACTATCGAACATATGGCAAGAATGGAGCCGAAGTTACTACGAAGAATGCTGCCTTTAATTGCAAGAAGGGTCTACCGAACCAAACACTACCGTGGCTCACGAACTCTGCCTCAAAAGACCGGCAGAACCTGATTGTAAGGACCGGGTGTTAAAGAAACTCAGGACAGATAGTAATACTTCTTGTTACGATAATAACAAAACTAATTATTCTGACGGATTCCTCTATAATTCTGAGTATCAGATTCTGGTTTGCATTGCATGCGAATCGATGGTCTAACCTGGGCAAGGTGCGTTTTACAGGCACCTGAATAACACTTACTGCATCACGGGACTCGCTTGTAAAGCTTTAATAAAACGCTTTAACATATATGAGCTTTGCCCGTTCAAGAAGCTAGTCATCCCTCGTGAGAAGATATCACCGGTTCCCGGATTGGCTGTTCATACTGCGTTTAAGTGTAATGTCTGTGTTAAAGTTTTCGGAACGCCACACTTCACATCATCGTCAAACAAAATCAGGGATCATCTGATTATACACAAATTAGGGATTTTACTAATAACTGCAGAGGAACTGGGGATGTTTCAGACATGTTGTGTCCAAACATTCTCTTCTGCTAGGGATAAACTTCGATATTTCGAGATAGAATAGGCTCTAGCATACTAAAAGAGGTAGCGTTAGATTAAATATATACTTACTATATACTAGCATTGCGGGACATGTCTAGTTCTGAAGATGATAAGCTGGAGGAGTCACTTGCGGGCCGAGCCGCACCGGATGAAAGGTGACGAACTGCGACTGACGGTCGAGCGGTTTTTGAGCTACGAACTGCGCCCGGTCGAGGCATTACGGCAGTAGAGGGCCGATAGAAAGAGGCCATGCCGGCCTATAGAGGGTCTTACCATATATGAAGGCTACATCTGCACCTGCACAGAAGCCCAATGTGACTATTGCACACGGCGAGTCAGGAAGATGCACGATCATATGCCGGTTCATGGGAGGAAGGCCTCGGAGCATACGAACGCTATGCCTCTCTGGAAGTCATGCAAACTCCAGATATACTTCACGGCCAAGGGTCTTATCAACTACTTCGTGGTCGAAGAAGACCTATCTCTGCCAACAACGGGAGGAGCGCTAGCAGGGTCGGGCCTGGCTACGACGCCCACGTCGCAGGAGGAGGGAAAGCTGTTCGAAGAGCTAAAGGCTGACATCATCCAGGCCTCACGCGACCTAGATAAGGATGCCGAGATTGTGCAAGACGTCGAGGCGTCACGGGCTGATCGGGTGCCCTGGCTTGTCTATACCGGGTTCCCTACGCACCTATAGGGTCTCCGCGATGAGAAGGAAGGCTTGGATGATGGGGATTATGGTAAGCGTGATGCCGAGCTGAAGTACACTATCTGCAAATTTTATGTCTCGCTTATCTGCCAGACTGTCGGAAGTAGGCCATTCCGGTCCGCTGTCTTGAGCTTCTGTGCTATGCTCAGCCGGAAGAAGGCTCTGACACGCCGGGTGGATAACGAGCAGCAGCACAGGCGTTGCATATGGCGCGAACTAGGGAACTTCAATAGCAGATATATTATCTGCGAGTATCGATGCAATTCGATATTTATCAGACTAGTGCCGTAATATAATATTTAACGGCAGATAGAAGAAGGGGGTAGTATACTGGAGGCAAGGCACCGAGAATGGATAATATAACTAAATTAAGACAGATCAAAGTTATCTATAGTAATGAATATAATGAAGCAAATCTAAAATTGCAGTAAAACCGCTATAAACCGATTCTGGACTACCTGCTTGCGATCTGCCTTGGGCTATTTCTTGCCTGCTATCTGGCCTAGCCTACTTTTTTACTATAACTCTACGTTTAGCTCGGTAGCTTATAACTCGAGTTATAGCCCCTTTCTACCTAGGGGTCTATGCGCTACTTAGGCTTAGGGGTAAGCATATATAATATTAAGTATATATATATATAATTTTATAATAGGATTTTATAATTATGTCTAATTAGGCTATTTATTATAATTGCTACTAACTTAATACTTATACTTGCCTTAAACCTTAAATCTTTTTAGGCTAAGCTTACTAGTAGGTATGTAGTATACTATAATACTAAGTTATAAGGCTATCGTTAGGTTAACTCTATTTTAGTAATTAACCTTAATGGTATTATTATATTTCTGGCTACTGTATCTATAATGTTTCTAGCCTAGGATAAACCTTAAGATGCATTATTTATTAATATATAACTATCAGGCTCTATAGTAATACAACCTTGCCTATTAGCCTTTATAGCTAGTAAGAGCAATTAGGCAGGCTTAAGTATAGTTAGCTAAACCCTCTTATATATTAAAATAAGGATATATTTAATGCTCTATATAGCCTGTTTAGTAAATAATCTTTTAAGAGCATTAAGCCATAATAGTATTAATAAGTTACCGAAGAAGATAGTTACCTAGCAGGACAGCCCTCATCGTTCTATATAATCTATATAGATTAGAAGATAACCTTCTCACATGAATTTGCTATAAAAAAGACGAATAAATCTCTGGAATAAGCCTTGATGTAGCAGCTAGGCAATTATTGCATTCTATGGTGGCTGGCTGGCTCAAGGACCCCTACTGAGCTATACAGGAGTGCCGTAGAGACTGAAATACCGGGCTCCTCCTAGCCGCCGGACGACTGACCATCCGCCTAATAACGCACTGAACTGATCTAGCAGCGAGTACCGTGCTATTACGCCGAAAGTGGGTGTCGGGTTAAGCACTGCCAAGATGAGGAATGTTTTTGCTGCATGGAGCCGGTTGCAGTGACATTCCTGGGCCCCAGGCTACCGGGTGGCGGGGAACCAATTGTCAACAACCGAGCTAAGCTGCTGAACCAATCCCCAACCATCAGCTAATACCTATAGTAGGTCCTTGCTTCGGAAGGTTAACTACTGCCATATTATGCCGCTGCAACGCCGTGTAAGTGACAGCTTGCTGACCAAATCGTGCATATGGAAAGTTCCGTGCACCCCGCTCAAGCCTGCGGCAACAGGTAGCAGGGACTGATCTAGCTGAAGCAACCCATATATAAACCAACAAAATGAGATGCAGAACCTCCTACAGGACAACTAAACCAATCTTAGTGGCTAGGAAATTCCTAAGTTATAAGGGGATCTGGCTCCTGACCTATCCAGAGCTGCAGTATATGTTAAGGGCTAGGGGCGGTTATAAACTTAATGTTATAGGATTAAGTTATTTCTATACAGGTTATTTATTTTATAGGGCTAGGTATGGAAGAGTTATATAGAGCGAATAGAAGTAAGCTTCTGTAATGTCTTACTATAGCCTCCCCTCTTATATTTTAACAAAACGTATAGAAACAGGCCTATATATATAGTCTTTTCCCTAAGTTCTCTATATTTCTTGCTAATATGTAATAAAATTCAAGTACTTTATAACTCTCTTATTTTTAATAAATTTATTTAAACTATAGCAGGCAGCTTAAATAAACTTTAATGTAAATACTACTATAATGTTTTATTAAGGTATATTAATATCTAGACTCTTAAAAATTTATAATACTTTAAAATATTTAAAAGTATAAGTTAAAAGGGAAATCTATTATTAAATTTAAACTTATTAAATTATTAAGCTTAATTATTTTATTATTACCTTTACTATAAACCTTTTTAACTTAATAATGTAAATTGTGGCGCCTAGCTCTAATGTCCTGTTTAATACTGAGCTACTAGGACTCTTTTATTAAAGACCGAATTTAACGGCTAGAGTATTTCACAATCTCTAGACCCCTATTAATAAGACTAGCCTTTATTAATAATTCCCTAGAAAAACCGACCCTATAAACTGACAGTTTCTCCTTTTTATTTTTAACTATTTAGCCTTGCTATACTATGCCGGAAGATATAACTAAGCTAGCAAGCGATAACCGAATTATTATCTGCGCAGACGGCATATAGCTTGCTTCCGATACAGGCGGAAAGGCCATGCCTTCCAACATCGCTAAATTGGCTCGAGCAGTTGCGAATAGTGGCCTTGATGCTGAAGGGAACTTCGTGAAGCAAATTAACATCGATTTTTTACCTACTCAGACTGGACACTAAATGTAATATAAAACTTATTACTATTATATAAATATATATACTATAGCCTTTAGACTTAACTTATTTATATTTTTATAAGACCTTCTAGCTTATTATTAGTATATTTATCTTAGAAGTTACTGACCTTATTATCGGCCTTAAGCTTTGCAGCCAATTAGAATTTAGCGGTTAAGATGTGGCCGTTTTTGGATATATGGGGCCGTCACTCAGCCAATTATGAACTTCGTGGTTAAGATCTATCTATTTTTAGAAGCATATTACTGCTAATTTATATAAGGCCTAGTGCAGCATTCTAAAAAGCTAAGCCGAAAGGGAGACCTATTAATTGTCTTTTAATATCTATATGAGTTTTCTTGCCAGCTATGTTATTATATAAGTTAGAATATTAGAATATAAATCTGCCTAGGCTAATACTCTACTCCCTGCATTATAAAAGAGTAAATATCTATATTATAGGTATACTAACTATAGCTAATCTAGCCCGCTATATAAGAGGTATTCTTATAGGCTAGGGTACTAATTAGCATATACTGCTATAGTAACTGCAAAATAAAATAATTATAAAGGGTATTAAGAAACAATCTCTAGCATTAATATAAAGTAACTCTTACTACCTTATATAATAATATATACTAAAATTAATATAAAGAGACTACTAAAACGTAAATAACTATATAAATATATAATAGCTAAGGATAAAGCAATAGCAAACACTTAATGCAGATAGGACAAACAATTAGTTTAGTAAGTAAGGATTGTAAATATCTTTATTAAATTCAAGTATTAACTAGAAAGTAATAATTAAAATATGCTAAAAATTAACTATAATAGATAAGTATATAAAAAGTAAATAGAACTATAGTTTAAGGCGTAATTAACTGCCTAATAAGTTTTAATTCTATTTTAATATTAATTTATACCTTATATCTTCTTTTCTCTACTATCTTTTATTATCAATCCGGTTTAAGACTTAGCCCTAATAGCATACTACTTATAAAATAACATTATACCCTTGTTTATGGCTTATACCGGTAACTAATCTTATTGCATTTAAACATATATAGTACCCTTATTAGTCTCCTAGAGCTAATGCAATAAAGAATAAACACATATACTAATTTCACTTTAATATCCTAACCCGAGGGGAGACACAAACTCACGTAAAGCTCAGGGTTAAGAGCAAAGCAGTTAAATAATAAAGGTACCTTAGTAACTAATAACTAAATTAACTCTACTAGAGTTAATTTTATTAGCTTACTTTAAACCTAGTAGGGTTAATTATTGCTAGAGTATAGAGTTAATTTTATATTATTCTATATATAAGAAGGGTAATACTAATTAAAACAGGGGTTTACTATAAAACGCAATATATCCTATTATATAAAGTGCTATTAAGTATAAGTATAATATACTATATAGTATTATTATTAATCTAAGTATAATCTTTATTTAGATTATATTATTAGTAGCCAAATTATTATAATAAACACTATAACAGGTAGTGATTTACGATCTGAGTTATAGAGTGCAATTTATTTATACATTCTTCTCTTAATATACCGCTTTCTTATTTATTAAGTATATATTTGCCTCTATTACTAATAAGGTTATTACTTATTTAGAAACACGACTTTATAATTAAATCCAGAGTATTAATAGGGCCTAGTAGAGAAGATTTAAAAGATCCTAATATATTTTATATAATTATAATAAATTATATAATCTATAATACCTAACTAATATAATTAAACCTATTTTATATCTTATACTACTAAAACTAGATAGAATAAAATATTATATATATAGCTATATTATTTATTATATCTAAAAGATATAAAAATATTATATTAATAAGTATTAATAAATAAATATAAGAGGCAGAGGTAATTAAAGCTTAAGAGGAGAGGAGGTTAAGATAAATAATAAGGTATAAAGAGATAGAGGCATAACTTTTAAATTAGTAAATAATAAATTAGAGGATATATAGCTAATATAAATAAACTAATTTAAAATATATAATATACTTTTCTACTTCTAGTAAAACTTAATAATAGATATTTAGTAATATCTATATTTTAAAGTAAGTATAATATAACCTTATAGAATTAGGTATAGAGAATCTTAATAATAACCTTTTTATAATATCCTAATAGTATAAATGCTTTTATTATCTCTTATAAGGCATAGGGTATATATAATTTACTAACTTAAAATA